CTGTTAAAATTTGCAAGTGAGAGCTGGAGAACCACTAAAGACATGGAATAACAGTTAAAGGCATTCAAAAACACGTCTGAGGAAAATAAAATGAAAATTTTATAAATTTAAAAGGTGTGAATAAATCAGAGAAATGTTTAGGCAACCAATAGTATCCAGTTAGAGAGAAGAAGGTACTCACTACATCAGATACATTCTGACAATAAACCAGCAGAGAATCACCAAACTAGCATTAAAATGGGAAATTAAGGGATTAAGAAGGCGAGGAGGCCTAAAAGAAACCCTAAGATGAACTTTGATGAGGCAGTCCAAAGCTGTTGTATTGGATTCCATCCATGACATTGAACTGATTGCACAGGATGAAACAGAATGGAGGAATAGACTACAAGCCCTATGGGACACATAAAAGCACAACAGGATCATGAATGAATAAATGTTACAACTAGGATTTAGTGAGGCTGAATTAACAAAGAGAAAAAGACACAAGGAAAGAATATCTAAGGAAGAACCAGTAAACAAAATGCCAGAGACTTGCTAGTGAATGAGTCAACATGCAATACACAATTAAACTTTGTTAACACATCAGAAGAGTCCGGATTTGGTGTTTTAAAAAAAACTTGTGCTGACTAGAACGATCAGATGTTTTATGTACAATACACACCTAGTGGAACCAACATTTTGTTCATATTCCTCATTCACACATTCATTCACTTGTTATTTAATCTAATCTTGCATCTTCTGTTAACATTCATTCATAAAAGATCTTCAGAATATCTCCCTCGTCCAGTACAAGTGTTCCTACAGCTATTGCTTTTGTCGAAAGAAAATCTGCTCTGTCATTTCCTCACACTCCTGCATATCCCGGACAGTATATCCACGTCATTCACTGCAATGTTGGTGTACAGATGCTTGGTATCCAATCATGCCATATTAGTCCATTCTGAACCTTCCGTAGTACTAACTGAGAATCAGACACAATAATTCTTCTGCCAACTTAGTTATCTGCTATCCAAATCAGAGCTGCAGTGATTGCCTCCACCTCCATCCTCATGCTAGAAGCTGAAGATACAAAAGCTCCATTGTGTTCTGCCACTATCTTTCCTTTCATTCTAGCTGAAAATCCCCAGCCAGACCTTATATCCCAATGACAAGAACCATTGGTGCAACATCTAGCCCAGCTAGAGCAGACTACATGAGAACAGCAGGTTACAAGTCAAGAGGTCGACCAAGATGAATGTCGGTGGAGAAAGTAAAAGGGGCAAAATAGAAAAACAACATGACATTAACACAAGCTACACAGCTACCAAAAGAGAGGAAACTACATATAACCCCTCTCTGTAGGCGTTTCAGGGTATAAGCAGTAGGGCAAAAGAATAAAAAGAAACAAACAAAAAGTAAAGGACCCCTTCTTCAGACCAAGAGATTCAATAGGTGTATGGTGCTACCCTAACTATTTATAAACTAACTGGAACATGATAGATGACCAGGTCAATATTGCATCTTTTAGTTCCCAGAAAGATCCCTGACACCAGTATAAGTTTGGTTGACTTGGTAGCCAAGAAGAATGAAACAAATCCCTGCCTTGAGAAGATCATCAAGTTATCAGGCAGAGCTCCCCTTCCTTCCAGATCCAAACAAAATACTTCTGTGAGTGGTCAGGGGTAAATACAGTTCAACAGTAAAGCCCTCACTCTGTTCAACATCAGCTCTCTTTTTTTCTTAGAATATTCACAACATTGAGAGCTGCAGATTTCATTTGGAATGCTTTCCCACTGGGCTCAATATGGATTGTCATGCGTACTGCCAGAGAACTTGTGGTGCCTTATGCGATTCATTTTGTGTGCAACTACTGATCTGTGGTAACTGCTGCTTCCATCGATGATAAACTGTATTTCCAGTGTCAGACTGTTTGTGTCAGCACTTCTGATTGCTACCTCATGTATTTCCTGCATATGTATGTTGTAGCATTTTGCTAAAACAATAGTCTATGCAAAATTTTTCACAGGGGACAGTGATGGACATTCTGTGTGTTTTGCTTTGCAACAGGAATGGAGCAACCATGGAGTGATCTGTTTGCTATGAAGCTGGATCAGTGATTACCTGATTACATGTTCATAATGTTAGCAAATGCCTTACTTACTATACACATAAATGTTTTCAGTGTACTGTATCATGTATTGGCATCTCAGCAGAGTGATGGCTAGATGCTTGCCTGCTGGCCACAAAATCTTGCCTTCAAATTCACATCCAGTCAAAATTTGTTCATCAGTGACCTTGGCAATGTCCTGGAAAAGGGGACCTAGCGTAATGCTGAGTACATCCCCCATCAAGAGCTCATTCATCATACAAGGGGACCTAGTGTAATGCTGAGTACATCCCCCATCAAGTGCTCATTCATTATACAAGGGGACCTAGCGTAATGCTTAGTACATCCCCCATCAAGTGCTCATTCATCATGCAATGGGACCTAGCATAATGCTGAGTACATCCCCCATCAAGTGCTCATTCATCATACAAGGGGACCTAGCGTAATGCTTAGTACATCCCCCATCAAGTGCTCATTCATCATACAAGAGGACCTAGCGTAATGCTTAGTACATCCCCCATCAAGTGCTCATTCATCATACAAGGGGACCTAGCGTAATGCTTAGTACATCCCCCATCAAGTGCTCATTCATCATACAAGGGGACCTAGCGTAATGCTTAGTACATCCCCCATCAAGTGCTCATTCATCATACAAGGGGACCTAGTGTAATGCTTAGTATATCCCCCATCAACTGCTCATTCATTATACAAGGGGACCTAGTGTAATGCTTAGTATATCCCCCATCAAGTGCTCATTCATTATACAAGGGGACCTAGCGTAATGCTGAGTACATCCCCCATCAAGTGCTCATTCATTATACAAGGGGACCTAGCGTAATGCTGAGTACATCCCCCATCAAGTGCTCATTCATCATACAAGGGTACCTAGCGTAATGCTGAGTACATCCCCCATCAAGTGCTCATTCATCATACAAGGGGACCTAGCGTAATGTTGAGTACATCCCCCATCAAGTGCTCATTCATCATACAAGGGGACCTAGCGTAATGCTGAGTACATCCCCCATCAAGTGCTCATTCATCATACAAGGGGACCTAGCGTAATGCTGAGTACATCCCCCATCAAGTGCTCATTCAACATACAAGGGGACCTAGCGTAATGCTGAGTACATCCCCCATCAAGTGCTCATTCATCATACAAGGGGACCTAGCGTAATGCTAGGTACATCCCCCATCAAGTCCTCATTCATCATACAAGGGGACTTAGCGTAATGCTGAGTATATCCCCCATCAAGTGCTCATTCATTATACAAGGGGACCTAGCGTAATGCTAAGTACATCCCTCATCAAGTGCTCATTCATCATTCATACATCATACATACATCCCTTATCAAGTGCTCATTCATCATACAAGGGGACCTAGCGTAATGCTTAGTACATCCCCCATCAAGTGCTCATTCATCATACAAGGGGACCTAGCCTAATGCTGAGTACATCCCCCATCAAGTGCTCATTCATCATACAAGGGGACCTAGGGTAATGCTGAGTACATCCCCCATCAAGTGCTCATTCATCATACAAGGGGACCTAGCGTAATGCTGAGTACATCCCCCATCAAGTGCTCATTCATCATACAAGGGGACCTAGCGTAATGCTAAGTACATCCCCCATCAAGTGCTCATTCATCATTCATACATACATTCCTTATCAAGTGCTCATTCATCATACAAGGGGACCTAGCGTAATGCTTAGTACATCCCCCATCAAGTGCTCATTCATCATACAAGGGGACCTAGCCTAATGCTGAGTACATCCCCCATCAAGTGCTCATTCATCATACAAGGGGACCTAGCGTAATGCTGAGTACATCCCCCATCAAGTGCTCATTCATCATACAAGGGGACCTAGCGTAATGCTAAGTACATCCCCCATCAAGTGCTCATTCATGATAAAAAATATCAGTTTACCATTATATTCCACCGTGTGATGTTGACCGTACCACCAAACAAGTGCCAATCGGTCTATAATGTTCAGGTCTAGCCTTATATGCCCAATACGCCTAAGGGTGTAGACAAGGGTCTTTTGCTTTACATACTGATATGCCACATGCCTACCTGGTTCAGACTTTTGTAACCGCTGGGTACCTTAGAGTTGAACAGGGAGTGGTCAAGGTTCAATATCTAGCAGAGGCAGGATAAATTTTCCTGACCAGTAGGAGCTCTTGGGTAGCAAATGTCTTCTTTTCTTCACGTCTTCTTTTCTTTTTCTGCTCCTTATTTCCCAATGGAGCATGGGCGCCCAACCAACTCATGTCAAGTTGTCCTATCTCTTGCTATTGTATGCAGCTCTCCTCAGGTTCTTCTCATCTGTTGAACAGCACTCTTTATTTCCTTTCTTTGAGCATGTATGTATGTGTGTGTCTGTGTTTTGTCAGTCTTTATTCCCTTGACCCTGTGTGTTCCAGTGCAAAAGGCACTAAAGCTAAAGTTTTTACTGTACAGATTTTCTCAACATGTGTCCTCTCCAATGCCAGCATCTTTTCCTCACCTTTTGATTCACTGGAATTTGTTTAATTTTCCAAAGCTCCATTTAAGGGATTTTACCATAAACTACTAAATGTAAAATTGCCAATAACTGCTGGGGTTAGTCTGTGATGTCCTGAAAAGGAACATGGAATTCAAAGGTGATCCAGCCTCATAAATATAGGTTCCAGACAACCGGAGAAAACAAAACTGCCTAGAAATGGTCTGCAATGGGAAGATGCTGCTCAACCGGTCTTTTATGTCATTGATTGGAATATTATTCAGGCCCAACGTTTCACACCCCAACTCTGTTTACTGCTAATATGAATAACTCTTCCTTGAACAGATTAATTTGTTCTCTCTTTTGGCAACATGCAATAACATGGGAGTTGATTCACACACACATAACATGGAGAAATATAGATGGAACTTACGGTTACAACCAGATTCCTGTGATCACTTTGGGAATTGCTGTCCCTACCAGTTTTTGATTGTTTGACTTTCTTTGCCTTACCCTCCAAGCAACGCTGTCGTAGCAACAGTGTATCTTGCTTCTGCTGTTCGTAGATGCCCTGTCTGGCCAGGAGATAACGGTCTGCTGTCGCCAAATGGTGATGCCGGTAGCGGGCTAGCCTTTGACGAAGTTTGTCAACAACATCTTTCTTTTTAGGCGCAAAAAAATCTCCCATGCTCGCCGAGGTGGCGGCAGAGTTATGATCAGGATTAAGTAGAGAGTGGGAGGGAAGGGGCTCAACGTCGTTGTTGCTGCCAGGACGACGCTGCTGCTGCACATCCACTGCTGAAAGAGGTACCTGATAATGCTGTTGTAGGGTCTGCGAATGTTGATGTCCGCTTGGGAGTTGCTGACTGTCGAAAAACGTAGTCTGCTGCTCTTCGGGCCGGTGGTAGTGGTGTTGGGCAGGGGGCAGTGTGGAGTAATGTACGTGGTGATCCAGCACACAGCGTGTTAACCCAACCTAGCACACTTAGCGTTTTAACACAACACACTTAGCGTGGTAACCCAGCACACTTAGCTTGTTAACAACACACTTAGTGTGGCAACACATCTAGTTTTCTCGGCTACACATGATCGTATCCGAGTAACTGTGAACACATTACACGTCTTGATGATATATATTTTCACCACAAAGAACGCTTCTGAAATAATCCTTTATAAAATATAATCGTTTGCACCTACTTAGGCGACTTAGCAGTTGTGAAACCTTTATTAATTTAGTTTCTCTTCTGGTACCGCAAGCACTCTGTAAGATTTACAAGACACAAATCACTACACATGAGGCTAATACACGAACAATCAGGCGACTGTGATAGTTTTCTCTTAGGTGATCATAATTATAATCAGAGAACAAAACCGTCACCCCAGTTTGTCTATCTGTGTCTACTACCGGCTTTCACCCCCTCACACAAACCATCAGACGGGGAGCTGACTGTAAAGCACCCAACACACTCGCGGCCACCGACACTAACACATCGGACCGCAACCACTAGAATCACAGTGAGTCCGTTTGTTTACACTCGCCATCCTACAAGCGTGTCTCAGGAAAGAGATGGCTCCTGGGACCCAACAACCACTTTCAAGTGGAAGGGTCTGCAAGCATCACAGCGGTTACTACTAAAACAATGTGGAAGAAGTAGCATAGCTGTAACTGTTGCTGTCGAAGCAGACGATGGAAGGAAGCAGCTGTACTGTAGCTACGGCTGGCGACACGCTGAAACACTATGTGAACTATCCAAACAAGCGAATCGATGGTGTGTACACGACCATGGGATAGCCCCCGAGTATAAGCCGCCCTCTCACTGGCGCTAACATGACTGAAATACGCACTCTTGCCCTACTCCATTCCGCCTACTGTGGGTGCTGTCGTGCCTCCCACTCGCGCACAATGGACCCCGCTGGCGCTGATACTTCACCTCATGGCTTACCAACACTTGGCTTCTTCCACTTTTACTCGTTCAGGGGGTGACAGTTCAAAGACAGGAGACTATCTTTGCTTGGTAGTTGTCAGTCCCCCCCCCCCCTTTCCACCCCTTTGTAATCAAGCGCTGGATATCTTCAGGGTGAGAAAGCAACGAGGTCGCTGTGATAGTATGCTTCTTTATCGGATTTCCTTCTATCCACGTCTGTCACTCTCAGGCCTTCCTTCCTCTTTAACCTTAAACCGGGACAGGTGTCGTTGTTAGGAAACAAAAATGGTCGGTGAAATCACAATTTGGCTGTCCTCTTGCGGTAAAGGGTGGGACCATAATTAGGCTGGTTACAAAGCAAATGAGGAGTTGAAACATTGGCAAGACTTTTGTTAGGGAACTGCAGTGGAGGCTAATATTGAAGGGGAGGTGGGGGTGGGGGGGGGGTTAGGCCGAGAAGTCGAACTGTAATCTGTGTTACTCTAGTTCTGAAGTATCAGTCGTTGGTGAAATCCTTGAGGTCACTAAACAATACATGATCAATAAACAAGTACTGGCTGGGTGACACAGCAGCAGAAGACAGAATCCCCCTTTGGCAGCCAGCTATATATAAAAGATAGTGTCACAGCTGGCACAGAACCAATTCTGAACTTTGACGGTAGACAACAAATCAAATGATTTGGCCATGTAGCAAGATTGGCATCAGACACGGCACCACAGAGAGCAATGCTATACAGATACAGCGGTAGCAGAACCAGAGGTCGACCACGCAGAATATGGACCGGATAAATATCAGAGACAATGAAAAGTACTTTATACGGGAGTTTTCCGGACAGTTCTATATTATGAAAGGGTAAGGGTGGAGTAGGTTAGGGTTAGTTTCTTTTTCTTAATCCCTTTTCTTCTTTTTCCCCCGCCCGAAATAGATTTTTTAATATCTGCAATGTTGTCTCTAGTATGTACTTCACTGCCATTTCTAGTTCAAAGCAATGTTTCCCCGTTGTAAATTAGAACAAAGAAGACACAAACAATAGACTGCACAATTTATTGCCTGGCATATTTCGCTGTATCTCATCAGGTGCATACTTCAGTAACAATTAATTAAAATGAAGCAAATAGCTGAATCCTAGAAACTGAAACACAAATTCGAGTAGATTTCAAACTGTTTCACCAAGGTAAACGTAGGGCAACGACCATTTCCTTTCCCGGAACTTTGTAGGCAAAAGGAAATGGTCGTTGCCCTACGTTTACCTTGGTGAAACAGTTTGAAATCTACTCGAATTTGTGTTTCAGTTTCTAGGATTCAGCTATTTGCTTCATTTTAATTAATTGTTACTGAAGTATGCACCTGATGAGATACAGCGAAATATGCCAGGCAATAAATTGTGCAGTCTATTGTTTGTGTCTTCTTTGTTCAAATTTCTAGTTCACTCGGCGACCTGTTTATTTCGGCTCAAGTGGGTGTTTCTTTGACCAGAACTGCGAATTGTGGATATGTTGAGGCGGCTCCTGAAAAAAGCGGTCTTGGGGTTACGGCGTGGGAGGGCACTGAAAAGGAGCGACAGTCTCTATGTATGTAAACTGGTGAGTTAGGGTTAGGGTTAGATATAGCAAATGCTGACAAATCTAGGGAATTCATGTCTAAGGCGAAGTCACTAAGTAAGATGACCGCCTCCACACAGGGCACAGTGACGGCAACGAACGAACGAAAGTAAATAAAAATTATAACACAATAAACTATGAAAACACTTTTAAAAAAATACATGACATCTCTAGAATATTGGAGCTTTAGTGTTGTAGGTTTAGTGTTAAATGATCACCGACTAAAACTAACCCTAATCCCCTGTATTAAAGGACTGTCCAGAGCTCCCTACGAAATCCCTATGAAATCTCGGAGCACCTGAGATAGGGTGAAATAGAGGAATAGTACCATAGTTTTCTTCTTTTTTTTTTTTTTTTTTTTTTTTTTAACCTTTTTTTTTTTTTTTCAATTCAGCCGGTACCATTCTACCTAGAAACAAGATGCCAGTACATGTATATACTAACTGACTCCTATAAGACATCTAAACATAAGTATGAGCGGCAAGAAACAGATTATAAACCGCACATTCGCACCAATACTGTCTTACCAGTGCCCAATGTGGAGATCAAAGGCTAATCTACGCAAAATTAACACATGTGACATGAGAAAAACCGCCAACAAATTTAGAAATGATATTATCAGACTGAATAATGGAACAACATCATGCAGTCAAATGGTTGGGTCATCTAGTAAGAATGCAGCCAGAACAACAACAAGTGCATACGGTACACATGAACAGATCTACGTCGACACGGAATTGCAACAGTTATTGCTGCCATCAAGCAATGGATCGCAAATTGTTCCTCCCCACGCCGCTTAACGTTAGAAGTGGAAATTGATGACGATGAATAAGTGAAATACCTTGCTATGGTTGCAATATCTGTTGTTGGCGTGTGAAGATTCAGAAAGAAAGATGCAAATTTGTAGAGAATATGTTCCATCGCAACATAACAGATCACTGGTGACTTACTAGCTTCTCGCCATGGAAACCAAGATAAGGGAACCATAATTCTAGCCTAGTGGCCCACTGAACCAACTTACACTTTATAGAGCCTAGAAGAATCTTTTAAAAACGGAGGGAACTCACCTTGATAACTGATTGGACAGTGAAGATGACAATGAATGGTGTCGCAAACAAGAATAAGTAAGAGCTGTAGAAGCCAGGCACGAAGAAGAAGACGACGAAGGAGAAGAGGAAGAAGAAGAAGATGATGATGATGATGATGATTCTGATGATGATGATGATGTTGATAAAAGAAGGGATGAGATTAGATGACTTCTTCCTTGACTTGCCTCCCTAGAAAACTCTCTCGTACCTACTTTCCGTCTTTGCAGGTGGAGACACCTAATACAGGCACAACTTTTAATTAGCGAACTGGGCGCGCTTTACCTCCAAGTAATCAGCTAATGTCAGCAATGGTAATGGGGCAAAGAAGCTGTTAAAACATATACATAATATTACACAACGCCAAGCTCTGTCTAGTTTATCTGCTTGTATCAAGATTACAACTTAAAGACTCCACTGGCTTACTCTGCCCGACCACACTCCCTCTCCATTTCTCACGCACTGACTCCGGTCCCGAGACATTGAAACCAGAGCTGTCGAAGTTGGTACTTTCGTATAAATTTGGTACCATGAACCTTTCCAGGCAGAATGTTATTTTAGTATCATGTGTTGGTACGTTTTAATTTTCTTTGTCCTGAATAATGTTAGAATAAATAAAAATTTTCTTCCTTGAAGTAAATGCATTGATGAGAGCAACGTTTTGCCCCACGACATTAACTACACCAACTAAAAGCCGACACAGCAGCTGTGCAATAAACTAAGTGAAAAGAAACATATTTAAAATATAGTACCTTTTCATCGAAGATTTGGTGCTATTTTGCAAAAACTTTTGACAGCCCTGCCCAAGACTTGTAACTTAGATTGTTTTCTGGTCGAGAGAACTCGAAACAACACTGTGACTTAAGAGCTGGAAGTTGTGGGCGAACTATCAGTTGTGCTAGAAGCAGATTGTTGAAACTGTCCACTAGCTTCAGCATGCAGGGCACTTACGGTCATTCGTCAGAACTAGAATGTAGCTATAGGTAAATGTAAGTAGCTCTTTAATTAACACACCAGTGGGGCGTGGACTATGTGATGTCAAACCCATTTTATCAGACCAACCATTATTCTTGGAG